AAAATTAGAAAACGAGATAGTTTGATTGTTCTACTGAAGAGCACTGCTCATTCAAGGATATATTTATTCTCTTGTTATTTAATCTTATAAGATGAACGCAGTCATATATATATACACTTCAAGGCTGTTATCCCACGAGAAATGAATGATTTACTATTCATGTTGCACCAACTATACGTTAAGTTAGAAAGGATTAATAGAAAATTAAAAAAAAATAACAAAAAGAAAAAAAATAATAGACTAACAACCGAAACTAAAAAAAATCATCATTCTTCTCTTCTAGTAATTTCTTATTATTGTCATTCTTCAACATCTTTTACTCAATAATTTTACAATTTAAGTCCAATCCGGGCCATTATAATAGGTAATGACTAATTCATTTCCTTGTGTTAAGTTTGCTAGAGCTCCTTTTAATTGAAAAATACGTGGTCCATTTTGTTGAGTAAGTCTCTCACAAAGTTCCCTCCAGATTTCATAAGCATTATCTACAAGGATGAAGGAGGATTTCACTAAAGGACTTACATAGTTATGAATCCAGGAGACAATCATATCATTGCATCTTTCCCAAGCATCTAGAAGAGGATCGTTGGGATCTGTTAGTTTTGTTATGCTGCCATCAACAAAACCCAGTTTGTTCTTGGCTCTAAAGGCCCTTTTCATGGCTTTTGCCCAAGTAACATAGTTTTCTATGGTTAGTAGATGGGTCACCAGACTGAGAATCGATGTATCATCGTTGTCAAGTCGATATGAGTTATTTTGATTAGATAGGTTGTGGAAACGTGATGTTGAATGCATAGTTGAGGTTGGTGTTTATTGGTTTTCTGTTTCCATAGTTATCTAGAGAACCAGAAGCTCTGATACCATATGAGAAATGATAAAAGTTGCAGAAGTAAGAAAATTAGAAAACGAGATAGTTTGATTGTTCTACTGAAGAGCACTGCTCATTCAATGATATATTTATTCTCTTGTTATGTAACCTTACAAGATGAACGCAACCATATATATATACACACCTCAGGGCTGTTATCCCACGAGAAATGAATGAACTATTGCCCATGTTGCACCAGTTGTACGTTAAGTTAGAAAGGACTAACAGAAAAGTACAAGAAGAAAATAACAAAAAAGAAAAGAATAACAGACTAACAGCTGAAACTAAAAGAAAAACGAACATCCTTTTTCTTCCAGTAACTTCTTATCATTGTCATTCTTCAACAATAAATATAGAAATCATACCTGGAAAAGCTAAATGGATTATCAAAAATAAAAAAAATTAATATCTTAATTTTTTGTTTGTTTTTTATACTTAAAGAAAAAGTTAAATAAAATATTATAATATCTTTTTCTTCCACAAATACTATTTTTATATATCTCTTTAAGTAAAAACTTACAAACGAAACCAACAAAAAAAAAAAAGCTAATTAAATCTAGTCATATAAAAAAATAACATTAAAATTATTAAAAAAATAAAATATTTATTTATTCCACTCAAACAAAATTAACTTTTTAAATTATTTTTTTATTAAAATATACATAATAAAAAAATTATATTTATATTATTTAAAATATTATTTTATCAATTTACCTCTTTAAAATCCCATCTCTACTGGGAGGCGCTCTAATAAGCTAAAAAAACAAATAGAACCTTGCTGCGGGAAAGGGGTGGTCTTCAAATGGTTCCGGGTCCCACAGTGCCTTTAATTTCCTATTTTCTTTCTTTATTATGTGGTGGAAAGACTTTGAGGTCGTGTGACGCAAGAGCGTGCGTCGTAGGTAGGGCGGTGGTTGAGAGGTTTGAACTTGAAAGTTTCTTAGGTTTTATGGCTACCAAACCCCCCTTTGTCCTACCCGGGTGAGTTAATTATTACTTAGTTTTTCATGAAAGAAACTGCTCAATTAATGAAGCAGAGCGAGTTGTGTTTTTTCCCCTCCAAGATCCCCCCTACTGGAAAAAAAGTGGCAGACCATCCACTGAATTTCAGAAGTCCCAAGTCAATAAAACCTGCAGCTGACGGTAGACTTTTATTGTTCATTAGTAATGCCAAGAATATGCAGATATTTTATCATTTTAAAAATATATTTCACAACGACCATGACTCGCCATTTGTTTCTTTTAATCGCAACCTCTCTCCTGTCTTTTTTCAATGGTGCAGGATTCATGCATACTAGTCGTCACATGGAACCTTCTGGAGAAGGAACCATCCTATATATCATGGCCCAACTCCCCTTCTTCATCACTTGTGTGCTCCACTGTTCCTTGATCATACTCCAATCAAAAAGATGGCAGAAATCATGAAAGTCCACGGAAGCGTCCTCTCAACAGCTGCACAACGAGTTTTTGCTTGCCTTTATGAGAAGGAGCTTGAGTTTGAGTTAATTCCTGTCAACATGGCGGCAGGGGAGCACAAGAAAGAGCCATTCCTTGCCCTCAATGTAAGTTTGATTCTTCCATGTCTAATCAGTACAGAATGAAGACATTTCCCTAACCTCCATTCAGAATCTAATCCTTCTTGGTGTGGATATTTCAGCCATTTGGTCAAGTCCCGGCTTTTGAACACGGAGATCTTAAGCTCTTTGGTATACTTTCTCTGCCTATTATTACTTAACTACTTGGTGAACATGTGTTTGGATGCGTACTGATCAGTGTTTATATGACAAATTTATCGTTTTGGAGCGCAGAATCAAGGGCAATCACTCAACACATTGCCCATGGGTATGCAGACAAGGGGACTCCGCTTGTTCTCCCAGGCAAGCAGATGGCAATATTATCAGTGTGGATGGAGGCTGAGGCTCACCAATTTGACCCAGTAGCTTCAAAGCTGAACTGGGAACTAATTTTTAAGCCAATGTTTGGAATTCCCACGGATAATGCAGCGGTGGAGGAAAACGAGGCTAAGCTCGGTAAGGTTCTCGATATCTACGAGTCAAGGTTGGCTCAGTCCAAGTACTTGGGAGGCGATATCTTCACCTTGGCTGATTTGCACCATATCCCCAACATATCTTACGCGATGAGGACACAGGTGAAGAAGCTATTTGATTCTCGACCCCATGTTAGCGCATGGGTAGCGGATATCACCTCGAGGCCAGCTTGGTCCAAGGTCGTTGCCATGAACAAGTAAAATTAAAGCAGCTGCTATCCACTGAGTCACAATAAATGATTGGTAGCCATAGTGCCCCTGAATAAGGTCTTTCTGTGTTCCTGATGATCTTTTTATCTTGCTTTTTTGTTGAGACTTAAATCCTCTAGTCGAGGACTAATTCTCTCGTCGCTGTTGAATTTGTATGGCACGATGGCTTTGTATTTTGTCGGTGGGCTTTTCCAATTCAGTCCTCTTTCAAGTTTTTTTTTTTTTTTTTTTTTTTTTTTTTTTTTTTTTTTTTTTTTTTTTTTTTTTTTTTTTTTTTTTTTTTTTTTTTTTTGAGATGGATTTGGAAGCATGAATTTAAGTTAGATTATATTATAAGTTATATGGAATAAAACATAATAGTCTTCAGATGGAGACTGTCAGCACTCGTTATTTACAGTGTAGCCGAAAGGCAGCCTGGTTCCAACTCCGTCTGACAATATTCTGTCAAGAGGGTGGGCGACAATGCGTTTCTCAAAATACCCAAGTTCTTTGAAAAATGTAGCCATATGTCTCTTTGGGGGCGATGCAGCGATTCAGTCAAATTTCAGCCTACCAGCATAAAGGGACGAAGGCGATGTGGTACGGTTTCTGAACTCAACTGTGTGCGTTACCTCTGGCTGGAAGACGATTTGGTTGAACCAAGATAACTTTTGCTATTCAAAAAACGTCAATTGAAATGGATGGTCTGGAAATATGATACCATGGATGAGCAACTCCTTCAGTATTTATTTGCTGGAAAATATTTGTTAAAATTTTTTTATTTTTTAAAAATTTATTAAAGTAATAAAAAATAAATTTTATAAATTTAAAAGTTGAATTAAAATAAAATTAAAAATATATAATTTCATAAATTATTTTAAATGAAATAAATAATAATTAAAATAATATATATCAAATAAAAAATTAAAATTAAAATAATTAATATTTCATAAATTATTTCAAATAAAATAAATAATAATCAAAAGAATAAGCACTAAATTTGATAAATAAAAAATCTCAATATAAAAATAATAAATAATAAATAATAATTATAAAAAAAATCAAAATTAATATAAAAATTAAATATTAAAAGATAAAATTAAAAAATAAATATTTAAAATAAAATATATATAGCAATCAAAAGTTTGAGGATGAAATTTAATATAATTATTAAATAGTAATATTTTTAAATTTTTTACAATTTCAAAAAAGTGTTTTTCGCTTAAATTTTTCAGAAAAACATTTTTCAAGAAATCAAGTCAAATTTTTCTTTGATTAGAAAGTATTTTTTGTTAACCAACTTTTCTAATGTCAAATAAACACAGGAAAATTTAAAAAGTGCTTTCTCAAAAATTACTTTCCGAAAAATAAATACAACCTAAGCCTTTAACATCATAACCCTAGTATAGATTCCCTGCAGTAACCAGATAAAACCAGGGTTGTTTAAAAAAATTAATGAATTGAAAAAAATTTAAAAAATTCAATTAAACTAATTTTTAAAATTATAAATTCTATGATTTTAGAATTAATACTAAAACTGACAAACTGAATTGAACCAACCAAAAAACTTAAAAGCTATACAAATTAAAAGGGATATAAATAGTTAAATATTGAAACTTAAACCTATCTATGTCCTTGCAAAAAGCCGCCGTCATGACCCCCTTAAGAATATTTATTTTAATCTTTCTTTTCCTTTCAAGTTTCAATTGCTTATGTTTGTCTTTATCTTAAAAGTCCCACATTATTTAGATTCTAGCCAAACACAAACCCACCTCTCCATCTCTCTTACTTCTCTTTTCTCTTTACTTTTGTACAAGCTATCATGATCTTCCTCTTCCTCAATTATTGCAAGTTGTAGTAAAAGAAGACAACTCCTTCATTAGAGAAAAGATGACGTAAATTATGACCGAGTACTTGGTGCTTGACTAGGGATCCAAGGAATATCAATAGGAAACAATGATTAATGATCGAGATGAATTTTTAGCTTCTGTTATTTATTGTAAGAAAAATTGATCTATTACAAAATCCTCTGAATGATTAGCTAAACTGTATTGTTTCTCACTCGTCAGCTGAAGTTTGTAATAGCAGAAAATATAAAATTTCAAATAAGAAAAAATTAGTGTTTAATCTCTAATGGGATTATGCTTCCTAGTTTTATGAAAAAAAACCAAATTTAATTGAACCGAACCAATTCAATTTGAATCGGATTTCAGTCTGGTCTAATTAATATTTTACAAAACCAATATAACTCAGTTTAGTTGGTTTTTTAAGTCTAAACCGAACTGAACTGAACCATTAACACCTCTAATTTAAAATGAAGAGATTTTTTTTCCATCTAATCTGAAAAGAAAAAAAAAATGAGTAAAGGAACTTAAGCAACCATGACAACAAAATATGGAATTATCATTTACTTGTAATAAATTTAGAATACCAATGGCTGAGGGAGAGTTAAATAATGGGATAAATTGGCCTATTAGCACCTAAAAGGATAGTGTTTTTGTCAAAATATCATAGTTTAAGAATGTTGTGGTTGTGAACCATGACATTAGTTTTTGTAGTTTTGAAACATGATCTTTAATTAAATTTTATATTTCTGAATCGTGACACTATTGAAATATTTTGTTTTTAAACCACAATATTTTATTCAATGTCACGGTTTAAAACTGTAATATTTGATTTAGTATTGTAGTTTAAAATTGTGACATTATCAACGATACCGTTTTGAGAAACAGTTGGAAATTTGATAAAACGGTTTGATAATAATCAAAATGATCAGGTCATTTTTGCTATTGTACCTTTTGGGTCATTTTTATGTTTTCATCCTGAAAATATTTATAAAATCATAGTTTTTGTTAAACTGAGATTTTTATTTACTTTATGATTTCAGTGAGTTAATTTTTTTTATATAATTTTTATCAAAATTTAGATAAAGTTTCCTAGAAATTATACCCAAAACTTTTTCATGTTTAAAAAGCCTTGCAAAAAACCATAATAACTCCAATTAACAAATTTTAACCAAACTCAACATATTATCATATTCATAATCACAAGTAGCCCCTAAAACACACACACACACACACACACACACACACACACACATATATATATATATAATGAAAAAAATAATTCAAGAATACAATATTCAAGTAATCCAAAAATATAAAAAATAATTCAATAATACAATATTCAAGTAATCCAAAAATATATCACCATAACTCATCTATCTATTTACATCTATGTTGTCTACCGAATGATCCAGGCTCATTAATAGTATAATTGGATCCAGCTCCTAGTCCTGTCTGAATGGCCTCATCCTCTGCCACGAAAAATATTTAACTATTGAGACGTTATGGTGTGAATTTTGCTTTCTTCACTTGTACTACAAAGATAAGATAGACCTCTCAACCCTTTCTTTCCAAGAAGCCAACTTAATATTAATAAAATATTAATATTAAATTAAAATACAAATATATAAAACTCAACGATTAACATATATTAATAATAAAAAGACTTTGTTACTTACATGATGTTGAATTTACTAGGCATGTTACTCATATTGTATATATCTAGGTGAAGGAACCTACTCGAGATCCAGAGTAATGATTCGTCGTGTTACAATCATGTACCAAATCATATACTCCTCGTCAATAATTACATATTGCATCTATATAAACATCTCATTCCTTTATGCATCCTATTGTGATACATAAGCACTATACTAGCCTAACTAGTCGTAATCATAATTTTTATCCCTATAAGTAATGGCATGCAAAACATCACTCGTATTGATATAGACTAAAATGTATTATTTGTAGCCGAACTATCGCATTACTCAATTTGGACACTGTAGCTGGATCATCTCAAAACATATTAAAGGGATCAATATTGTTCATATATCCATCCTGCTGGTGTAGACAACTGGAGCAACAACTAATCTTGTTTCCGAGTAAGACATCCACATGACCTACAAATTATAAGTTAAATAAATATCAAACAATAATAATTTAGTTCAATTAATTATCTTATTTAACCTATAGTTTAAAATATCCTTGGATAACATATTGTCTCTTGAGTTTGTTCCGATAAAATGTTAACACATGTGTTGGATTGTTTTCAAAAACTCATCTAGCACACCACATAACATTAAAAACATTTTAGTTTAATTTTATTTTTCAAAGTTTCAAGAACACAATATAAATGTATATAATTGCGAAAATAACATCGCAATACCTGCATCTTAGTGAAAGATGAAGTGTAACCCCTATAATTTAAACTGTTATATCCAACAATCTCGGTATTTGAGGCCTGCTCACATAAAGATGTCCTCATGACCATAAATATTTTGTTAATTTTATTGCGCATGAAGCATTCAAATCTAAATAATTATTTAGATTATTTTTATTTATACTTATAGAAGTAGCAAACATCCCCCGACCTTGTTTGGCTCCTATAATGCATACAAGACATAAATATCTGTACAAGGATGCCAATGCAACATATCCCTAACTATATGTGGGGATAACATTAAAATTTTCTAGGAGCATCAAATAAAGCAAAGGAACATATCTCGCTGTGATGTCAATGAATAATACACTATCAAATAGATGGAGTATATATACTTTAATATACCTATAAACAAACTAAAATCATCACAATAATTAATCCAACTATAACAAATAATCAACACATTTAAATCATTATTTATTTTTTTACCTTTACAAGACCTTCTTGTCACCATCATCTGGTGGTTTCGAAAATGTTTTTTGAATCCACTCAAGACATATGCTACCCCTTTTCAATTTAGAAGCAGAGGGTGCTAACCCAAATGACCTCTTGCATAATGCAATCTTATTACATGCACCAATAGATGTGACTGCTTATCCATTGACATGACCAAAAAATTGATGTCTTCTTCCAAGTGTAGGAGTGTCGAAGTAATAAATAACCCGACAAGATCGGGGTCGAACCATAGGGAGGTTAATTGTATAAATTATAGATAACAATAATACAATAACAACAATAGTAGTAGTAGTGGTAGTAATAGTAGTAGTAGTAGTAGTAGTAATAGTAGTAGTAGTAGTAGTAGTAATAGTAGTAGTAGTAGTAGTAGTAATAGTAGTAGTAGTAGTAGTAGTAATAGTAGTAGTAGTAGTAGTAGTAATAGTAGTAGTAGTAGTAGTAGTAGTAGTAGTAGTAGTAGTAGTAGTAGTAGTAGTAGTAGTTTTAGCTAAACATAATCAAAGAAA